GATCTGAAAAAGCATAAGGCGATGTACGAAGCAACGGTATATGGTGAGCAATTTATTGTATATTTTTATTTACCCCATTTATATTATTTTTAAAATATAATCGATTGAATAACTAATAATTAATTTCTAATACATTGATCATTTCATATATTTGATATTTATATTGTGTAAATTTACCATGTATATGTCTTATAATTTATTTTTGAATTAAAAAAGCGAATTCGATACTTGTGATGCTTGTTTTTCAGAAACACATCTCTTTTAATTGAAGAAAGAAAGAGATATACGCGAAACAGATAATCTCGCAATTAAGTACATTTTCTTCCTTAAAGTTTTAATATACATATATATCATATTACAAAATTATATACATATAATATAACCCTCCCATGGGTACACCTTGACGTGGTGGAGTGGCTTCGAAATAATAATTTTTTTGAAATTAATCTTATTTTGGGCTCTGCTATAATTTGAATTTTATATTTGTATGTTACAGACAACGTAGCCTCAAGACCAACAATTTATCAAAATTTTGATTGGTAAGTTGGTTTTGTCTCAGTTAAAATAAAGTTATATTAAAATGAACATCTAACGGACGATCGTAAAATCACACGATCGTCATCGAGCGTGAAATGTTTACGCTCATCTGCCGATGATAATAATTACTCGGCAAAAGAAGGAATTTATTTCCTTACAAGCGCAAGACAAATCTTGCGCCTATTCGCCGGCGATAAAAGGAGTGTGTATCGTGTATCTCCTTTTTCGATCTCTGTTTAGAGATCGATTCAGAAAGTGGCCAGGAGCAGCGAAAGGTAGGTCCAACTGGCCCGAAGAATGGATATAGGCTACGCAAAATAGGCGGCCAATACTGGCCAAAATGCGTAGCGAGAGGTACATAAGGTACGTTTAGGGTGCGCGATTAGGGCACGCGGTTAGGGCACGCGATTAAGGCACACGAGTAGGGCACGCGGTTAGGGCACGCGGTTAGGATGTTTTCCAAATCTCCGCTGGTTCAGCCAGCAAATAGGATTGTTAGGGCTATAAGGACCATTAGGACATTAAAAAAAAGGCTAGAGAAATAAGATTAAAATGTATAATAATAATACCCAATTCAAATTTTATTTTCAGAACAATTTTAAAAAATAGATCACAATAAAATATTATAAAACATTCTAATATGTTGTAATATATATTTTATGTTAAAAATGTTACAGAAATATATATCCAAAAACACGTATAATGACAATATATAGAAATTGGTTGAATTAACATATATATATATTTGTTAAAAAGTATGTATTGCAAAAATGTTCTCACACACATAAATTTAACCGTGTGTGCTTTCATACCAAAGAGTCGTTGATAAAATCGGGAAACTTTATATATATTTTATATATATTTCAAACTTTACGAATTTTACAATTATGTATAATTCTTTGGTATTAAAAATATTGAATAAGAGTGTGAAGATTCGATGTTAAACTAACGGTTAAATATTAGCTTCTTATTCACGAAATTGAACAATTGTCCTCGATATTGCAGAATCGCGAGTAAATTAGTACGAATTTTATGATTAATTTTCAACTGATTGATGTATTTACGAATTCCGTATCGCAATCAAATATTCGTAAAATAAATTAATAAATTACACTGCGAAAACACCATACTTTTTCCGCGTTTTTTCCGTGTTTTTGCCGTTCTTTCCGTTTTTTCTATTCTTTCTGTTCTTGAACGCGATTGCTGTCCCTCTCGTCAGGTGAACGTTAATGAAGTTGTCTGGTTCGTCTATTGATAAAAAAATTATGGTTACGAACAAATATATTTTAATAATTAACTGTTAATTAATATAATTTTTTATTTTTGTTGAGAAACTATTCCTAGGCACTTGGGATATTAACATCAGTTTTTGGTTTCTTTTAAGAAACTATTTGCAGATATTGGACATCCCGCCTCTCTAGGACATCAATCCTAGATAAATGCTTTTAGGTGAACGTTAATAAAGTTGTCTGGTTCGTACCGGCAAGTAGTCGAAACGATCTTTATCGTGGAGGATTATCTCTTATTGGTTTTTGTAAAATCCATCCGCAACGTCTAGTTCGGTGCTTTGTTGAAAATTGGGGATTTTCGTTGCAGGATTGGAATTAATTCTAGGTTTTCCTGGCGATTCCTGAAAGTAATGGTTTCAGTAGTAAAACAACGATGAGCGCCACACGCCTCTTTAAAGTCGAAATAAGAAATTAATTTAAACAGTATATTTTTTTAGAAGAAAAATATATTTTCTTCTCTTCATTAAAAGTGTTCTTCTATCATTATTAGTATTAATATTATTATTTCCTAGGCACTTGGGATATTAACATCAGTTTTTGGTTTCTTTTAAGAAACTATTTGCAGATATTGGACATCCCGCCTCTCTAGGACATCAATCCTAGATAAATGCTTTTAGGTACATATACTATTCTATATATATAATAAAACACATGCGCAAATCAACATACTATTCCAAAAAGTTTAAAAATTTTTTTGGATATTGTATTATATATATGAATGATATATGAATGATATATATAATATATAATTATATATATGAATATAAAATGTAAAATGTGCCATTTCTTAATAATGGAAGAACATGTTTTCTCGCGCAATTTTTAATCTCGTGAAATGAAGATAAATGGTAACTGTCGTTGATTCATTACCGAAACCATTGCTATCGGGAGCAGTCCGGAAGATCCGGGATTCGTTCCCTCCTGCAGCGGCTCTAACATTCAACGAATCACTTAACTTTTCATTGGGGATCGATCTTGCAGAAACTAATGTAGAAACAAGACGTTTGTCGTTCTCCACCTTTAGGATCGTTCTTCTCTCTGTCGGATATTAACCAGCGTGTCACTCGGCGGAGGGAGGGCCTTGTTAAAATCGTTGGGTCTGTTATTCTCTATAAAACGTGACAATAACGCGATTTTTTATAACGATATTTTAAGGTTTATAAGACCCATTTTGTCCTGTTAAAACAGTCATCCGCGAGATATAATATATATCTTATTTTAATTATATCTTATTTCTTGTTGATCGTGACATTCGTATAAAATGGCGTTTTGGAAAATAAATCGGGCGGTGAATGCTATATTACAGATCTCGAATGTCTGTCGAAATATCTTTGTATATAAAAATGATAGTGATTATACCACGTACGTGTATGTGGGTTTCGATTATTATAGAAATTACGCGTATCGCAATCGAATATTACGGATATCGTCGGTTTATTTATTTGTTTGCCGCGTTTGCTCGCAAATTTTAAATCACAATTTATCTTATAATTTAAACGTTGATTTCCATCGAAGCTTTGTCTATATTTTTGCATTTTGAATATCTTCTTTGAAAGTCTACACAAAATGTGTCAGTAGTATAAGTATTTTTTTTCTACGATTAAACACAATTGATAACTTTATTAATGACTCTTTTGGTCGCGAGTCTTTACATCCTGAGAAATGAAAAAGAAGAAAAAACCTATCCTCGCACATTTTTCCTCCTCGATGGTATCTCCACCTTAACGAAGGCATTTGCCGGGTGAGGAGGTTTGCGTACTCTAATGAACCTGAGAGCTATGCCGGCAGTAACGTATAGCGTTTTTAAGTAAAGTAAGTTTGATCGCTTTGAAACCGATTAATGAATAAAACTCATAAACTCTGTCTTGGATTTTAGGAGTACTTGGGTTATTAGATTAATTAATGAATACTTTGAGTAAGCCTTTGATTGATTAATCAGAGCAAAGAATCTTGTACTTTAAAGACGAAATAGCGTCAAGAACGGAGAATGTGCTTTATATTATTTATATTAATCAGATTCTCTTGAATCTATTTTTGATCGAATATATATTCATAGCAAATTTGATTTAATCGCTCTCAAAGCGATCAAACCTGCTTCACTCGAAAACGCTAAGTTGATGTTTGATTAGGCTGATTGAGATGCTCTGTATGGTGTCTTTTGCAATCATTATCTACGAACAATTAGCAAACAATTCAAACAAGTAAAATTAACTTCACATTTAAAAATTTATAAATGTATCAAAATAGTAACTATTTACCGAAATAAATATTTCACGCTATTTATTCATTCGAAATCGAAGCGATAGAAATTGAAAATTATTAACAAAATTTTTTTAATGATTGTCATCTGTATTTTCTATATTCAAATATAATCTCGCATATATTACGAGTAACAATAGATTGAATAACTAATAATTTATTTCCGATGCATTGATCATTTCATGTATTTGACATTTATATCGTATAATTTTACAATGTATATATCTTATAATATATTTTTGAATTATAAAAGCGGATTCGATATTTGTGATGCTTGTTTTTTAAAAACATACGTATCTATATCTTTTTTAATCAAGAAAAAAGAGGGATATGTGCGATATAGAAAATCTCCCAATTATTAAGTACATTTTACCCCCTTAAGTTATATATATAATATTGCAAAATTATATACATATAATATAATTCTCTCTACACCTTGGCGTGGTGGGAAGGCTCAGTACATGGACGATACCTTAAGGTCCTGAGCATCCTAAAGGTTTAGCATGTTAAGGGAAAGCGAAATACCCTATCAAAATATTCCTTGCGATGCGCAATGAAAATAATATTATGAATGTTTAAGTATATTTAAATATGTGCGAATTTGTGATAAAAATGAGTATCAAGCAAATCAAATTTAATATATTACATTTAATTACATAATTGAGGATATAATTTAACATTGTACTTTAACCTAAATATTTCAGTGATATTAACATTCTTATCTTATTAATATTTCATTAATATCTTAATGAGATGCCGCGTAAAAAATTGTTCCCGCGTAGCGCGTGAAGTTGAGCGCCATCACGTGACCAAAATTTCCGCGACCGATCTATTCCTCCCTCCCCCCTCCAACGACCTCCGGCAGTTCGCGTAGGGCATTGCCGAAGTGCGTATCCTGATCGTGATCGCTCTGCGTTTTCGCGTCTTTTTACCCGGTTCGGACGAATTCTGCGCACCAATAAGTATCAGAACTATCGAATTTAACGACGGACGATCGTCTCGTTGTGTTAACGAGATTCTCGCGGTCATAATTAGTGCGTCTCGGTAATCGCGATCGGTACGTGCCTTAATGGCTACATCGCCTTTATTGGAAGGGTCCATTTTTCCAACGCGCATTTCACGTACATATTTCGCAACATTCGCTCGTCGGGCGAGCATTCCGAGTGCTATCTAGCATCCGAAGCATCGCGGAGGATCGAAAGACAACGAAAGGAGCATCGTCGAGAATATCGAGGAATTCGCGAATCTCTCGGTAATCGCGACCGTACGTGAATTATCGCTGGATCGCCATTATTGGACTGATCCATTTTCTAATCCGCGCATTCCACGTACATATATCGGAATATTCGCGCGTTCGACGAATATTCCGAGCGCTATTTATTATCTGAATCATCTTGGAGCATCGAAATACATCGAAAGAAGCATCGTCGAGGATATCGAGGAATTATCATAATGGACTAATTAACGCAAGTGATCCTTGGTCGCGAACGTTCGATATTCGTCCGCCATGACAGTGACGTATGCACAGTGCAAGCTCCTAATATCAGACGGAACGCGTGGTAACAAGTGTCTGGGAGTATCGGGTGCATAGACTTCTAGATAGAGTGCGCGCTCCAATTAAGGGTAAGAAGATGGCATTAGCAAGAGGGGAAACTCAGTAAGAGGGCACTACTTGATCTAACTCTCCCCACCAATCGTGCAGTATCTATGCCCGGGATTCTACGGACATTTCAGTGTGTTGGTAATCCACATAATCACGATCGAACGTTTCCCGATATACATAACCACAGTGTTAATGACGTTCGTTAATCGCCGTTTGTTGAAAAATTTTATTTATGGATACATTTATTATTCGCGAGTGTAATCGTGTGTCAAGAGTGTCGAATAAAAATTACGGGCGATTCAATATGTCAGCTGATCCGCGCAATCACGATCGAACATTTTCCAATAAACATAATTACAATATTAATCGCGTTTCGTCAAATTGCGGTTCGTTGAAAAACTACATTCGTTATTCGCGAGTGTAATCGTGTATCGGGTGTCGAATAAATCTACGGACATTTAAGTGACTTAATTGATCGAACGTTTTTCGTACATAACCGCAATAATGATCGTGTCTGCGTAAAATCGAAAGACTTATTTATGGACACATTCGTTATTCGCGAGTGTAATCGTGTATCGGGAGTGTCGAATAAGTCTCGGGCGATCGTTTAATTAGCATTAATTAATCTGTCTGATCGAATAGACTTTTCGATATCGATGACAGATCACTCGCGTTTCGTTGTGGATCATGTCTGTTGGAAAATTCATTTAAAAATATGCCTGTTTCGTGTGATTGAGAATGATTATTCGCGAGTGATCAAGTGGATTTCAAGTGCATCGGAGAGCATCGAGGGACATTGAGCGGCTTCGAGAGATAATGGATTATTGCAGACAGGGTGCAGGTGGAGACAGAGGATTGTATTCGTCTACGGTGAGCACTCAAGGATTTATTTTATATGTAAACATGTACCAAAAATTTTATTTGTCTTTATATACACGCTGTGATATAAATATAATAGATAAAATTTCTCTTTACATTGTTTAACGCGCGCTTATGTATTAATGATTAATGGATTGGTTAATGCATTGGTATCAATGTAATCGTAGCGTAACGCGATTTTTTCATACAGGATTAAATCATCAATTTAAATATATGTGGAATAATTAAGGAATCGTCGATTTCTCCGAAAATAAAAAATTGCACGCGCAAATAACTATACTAATGATCGTAATAGATTCCAAGTGAGATTCCACGACCGATCGCGTTTTATGACTTTCGTAATCTCCCGTGTTTAAATGAGTAATGATATCGGTGTAATTGCGGTGTAACGATTTTCCCGTAGAGGATTAAATTATCAGTTAACATAGTTACGCAAAATGATCGACGAAAATCATCGATTTTATTGGAAAAAAAATCGCGCGCGCCAATAAGCGCATTAATTTAATACAGGGTGTCTACTCCCTTGTAAAACATGGGATTCTCAGGGAATTTTTTTGTGCTTGGAGAAATCAGGAAATTCTCATGAAATTTTATTGGGAATTTTATATTGTAAGCGATCTGTAATTCGCCGATGAGCCAAATTGTGAATTATGTATTTAAAATATATATAAAATATATATAAATATATATTTGTAAAATATTATAAATATATATTTATCTCTGTTTATATATATTCAGTGTCTTAATTAAATATGCAGTACATATTCTTTACTTTAATTTTTAGTAATAAAAAATGAAAATGTTACGCAAGTTAAAAATTTTTATCTTAACGAAAACTGTTAGTTCTTTTCAGTATATTTTTAAATCTAGCATCATGAAACTTAAGTGGCTTTGCATTTTTTTCTTCGTATGAGTGAAAAGCATTATTAAAAGGGATATCGGTGTAATTGCGGTGTAACGATTTTCCCGTAGAGGATTAAATTATCAGTTAACATAGTTACGCAAAATGATCGACGAAAATCATCGATTTTATTGGAAAAAAAATCGCGCGCGCCAATAAGCGCATTAATTTAATACAGGGTGTCTACTCCCTTGTAAAACATGGGATTCTCAGGGAATTTTTTTGTGCTTGGAGAAATCAGGAAATTCTCATGAAATTTTATTGGGAATTTTATATTGTAAGCGATCTGTAATTCGCCGATGAGCCAAATTGTGAATTATGTATTTAAAATATATATAAAATATATATAAATATATATTTGTAAAATATTATAAATATATATTTATCTCTGTTTATATATATTCAGTGTCTTAATTAAATATGCAGTACATATTCTTTACTTTAATTTTTAGTAATAAAAAATGAAAATGTTACGCAAGTTAAAAATTTTTATCTTAACGAAAACTGTTAGTTCTTTTCAGTATATTTTTAAATCTAGCATCATGAAACTTAAGTGGCTTTGCATTTTTTTCTTCGTATGAGTGAAAAGCATTATTAAAAGGAGAACAATAAAAAAAAACTATTTTAGGAAAATGCATCACAAAAAATTTTTAAAATATTTTCTTTACTTGGAATTTTGAATAAAAATACCTGAAAGATTAGGAAATTTTTGGGGAATATTTTTACAAGATTCGAGTAGACATCCTGTAATAATCGTGCAAGATATTAGAGACGCGCGAGTCTACCGCGTGCTTGCATATATTAATGGATGCACTGATATCAGTGTATCGCGATTTTTTTCATAGTTGATTAAATCATCAATGTAAGCGTATGTGGAATGATCAAGGAATCATTGATTCGAAAATAAAAAATCGTGCGCGCGAATAACCGTACTAATGATCGTAATAGATTCGAAGCGAGATTCCACAACCGATCCCGTTTTTTAACTTTCACGATCTCGCGTAATCGATCGCTCCCGCTTGTCATGCTCGAATGAAGTCATTCGAGTGCTTATCCGCCTATAACGCACGTACATTAGCCCGTGCTAACGCCGGTTCTCACAGTCTACTACAGTGGCACAGCGGCTTATTGTTAGATCCTTACTTGATCGAGTAACTCGCAGTCATTCGTATTCCTTGTATTTCTATTCCTGTTTCGAGCTCCGCGCCAGCAGCATACGCGCCCGTCCATAAAATGCGAAACATGCGATTCGCGGTGCCATTGATGCCTCGCGGAAATTGGCACGGTGAAAGCGTTATCCGATCGAAGCGATCTTCGATCCTCTTTTGCGCGGCCGTCATCGCGTAAATTATACAGGGGACACGTCGCGTCGCCGGAATATTGTGGGCGTGCGTCGCACTAATAAACGACGATTTTTTTCGATGTACCGTCGATGTTAATTTCCTTTCGAATTGATTGTAGCAAGGAGCGATTAATTAAAGTGAATAATCGTGAACATGCAACGCAAACGTTAACATTTTTAAATAATTGTTATTTTAAAGTTGCTATAATTTGCAGAAACGCCGCTGCTTCGATATCGCGAATTAAAAGTCGATTAATTGAATTATTTACGCAATTATATACAAACTATTATATCATTAAATGTCATCGATAAATTTCACGCGCGATTTCACGATTTCTTACAGCTTTTTTATTTTTGCGGAATTAAGACGATCGAACGGCGTTTCTCGTAACATTATCTGATCCTACGATCTCGAGGCGAGGAAAGATGGGTGAGCGATATCCGCCTATTCATGAGCTCGTAAAGATAGCGGAAATTTATTGAGCGCTCGATCTTTAATCGCGATCGATCGGCGTTCGCTTGCGGAGATCGCTTTCACGCACTGCGAATTCCAAGAGAAAATCGGAGATTTTTGGTCGCATCCGCATCTTTTCGGAGATATCTTTTTCTCTTTTTGGTGTGCATATTGTCTCAAAAAAAGAGAGACCTGATTTCGCCCGCCTACGAGTAGAAAGTTCCTTAGTTTGTCAACCATCGAGAGAAAAACTTTGCCGGGGAAAGAATATAACTGCCGTACACCGCGTGCGCAAATCAGGTTTCTACATTGCTTTCGCAATACACGACGTTGAATATATACATTTTTTTTTAATTAGTCGGAATTAAGACCAGTCCATACCGAACAAGACCGTGCATAATCCGATACATCGCAGTGAATGTGTCTACTTTCTTCTCTCTACCTGTCGTTCCCTCTGCACTCGTATATGCGGCTGCATGTATGCGGCGTATCCGTATAGACGTATACGGGCAACCCGCTCGAGGCAGATGTGAAGATAAATCTTTTATTTTGATCCGCCTTGTCCCGTTAGGATAAGTAAATATTTATACGCGCAATGCTATACGAGCTCAAACGATAAAGTCTGCGATTGAGCAAGCAAAGCGTAATATATCAAAATGTATACAGTCTTAATTAATATAATTAATTATCGATCGCGTGTTAAACCGATTATGTTAAAATTTTTTAATTGTTTAGTATAAGAAATAAAATAATATGAAAAAAATCTTATATATACAATTTATACATAAAAATGAGGGAACTTTTACAAATTGTCTCTATTCCAGATGTATAATATATTCTTACGTATTCTTTCTGATAAATGTATAGGAAGAACCTCTGGCATTAAAGGTGAAATCTTTTTCTAAGTGAAGAAAAACGATTACATTGAAAAGATCCACGCGAGCGACCGAATCTGAGATTCCAGTATATAGCTGCCGATAAATCAGCGATAAATAGAAATGTCGCGTCTCCATTAAATTTCTTGTTCTTGAGCTTTGCTCGTCGCGTCGGTCATTCGAGAAGATTATTTATCCAATAAAATTTATAGTCAATCGCGGCCTTGGATTAAGCCGTATATATTACGCAATCCCAGATCGGTGGAATATTGCGTCGTGTCGTTTTTTGTGTGCTGTTCTTTTTCTTCTTTCGCGATATTCCGTCACTGATTCGGGCAAAATATGCGGAATACCGGTCTCAAATCAAGTTAAAACGCCAACAAAAAAATTGCACGTTATCGCGATGATCGACGGTCGTTGATCTTGATTGAAAAAGTTATTTATCGACTCGAATGTAAAATTACAAGTTCAACTGCAGTACATTGCGATATTTTGTAATCATTGAATTCCTTTGCCCGATATTTATATGTATTGATCATACGTCATAATTGTGCAATGCATTTTTCATGAAATTAAATAATTTCTGTTACGTCGAATATTTTAAGACATTTTTTAATTGCGCAATGCATTTTTCATGAAATTACATAATTTCTTTTACGTCAAATATTTTAAGACATTTTTTAATTGTGAAATTCCTTTTACATGAAATTAAATAATTTCTTTCACGTCGAATATTTCAAGACATTTTTAAAAATACGCGATTAATTCGTACTTATAAAATTAAAAAAAAAACTGAATATGATATAATAAATCTTAAATTTTTTTCTCGTTTACAATCGGCATACTCTTCTATCTATGCGCACGTGTAACTTTCTATTTCTTTTTTTTTAACATATCAATATAATTTCTATTATTTATTAAGTTTATATCTTGTATAACATGAATTTTATTTTCATAATTTATAACTTTGTAACTGACCAATTACTAGTTTCGCGATTTGAAGAGAAAATCATGCTGTGAGTTAGACTTCTGCAGCTGACAACATAGCGCGTTAATAATTATAACAAGCGGTAGCTATTTAATTGCTTCATTAGCACTGACGAATCACACGCGACCGCGGCACGTTACCGCGGTAGGAGTGCTACGGCTCATTAAAATGCAACGATTGCGCCGAGACTGTACACCGCGATGTAATAATTAACAGCAACATTTTGTACTGCCGTTATTATACTACTGACGAGACCATTCACGGAGTTTCCGGTATTTTGCGGCCGATGAGCGCGTTCTAATCACGAGGAAACAACAATCGGAACGATGAAAAATTAGAAACATGAGATGCTTCTTTTCCCACCGAAAGCTTCGCGCGAGAGAAATCGAGACGAGTCTTTACGATCAGACATGGCGTTTAAGAATGATCAG